GTTTGGCTGGCTTTGGAGCCGGTGGTGCGACGGGGATCCGATCGGAGATTGTCGACCTGTTTCTGCAGAGTATCGGGGTCACGTTGACTGACGTGGATGACGTTGTTTTCAGGTGAACATTGCTCAATTCATTTGATACAAATGATCCCTTGATGCAACGAACCTACCGTATTTACTCGAGTAAGACACGCACCCCAATTTTTATTTTTGTGTGTGTGTGAGAAATTCGCCCAAAAACCTATCCCTGTAAAAAACCCGCACCCCAGTTTTTTTGTTATTTTTGTTGTTGCTGGAAATCAAGAATTGTGTAATTTTTTCCCATTGATGTTTTGTCTTCCCTGTTTTTTACTGTCTGCAGGAGCAGTTAAAATGTGCTTGGAATATGTATATGGCAGCTTCCTCAATTAGATTAATATTTTTCCCTTCCTTTTCTTCCTGTTGCATATCCTAAAATTGTTATTGCTTGAACTAACTATTATTTCCCGTGGACAAGGAGACTTGGTGCCACACATTTCCTCTTATACTTCGATGTAATCACATGTGTGAGGGACACTGGTTTTTGGGATTTTCGCTTGAAAAATTATCACTAAGTACCGTGCACACCTTATTTTTTGCCTCAATTTTTGTTATGCAAAAAGGTGCGCGTGGAACTCGAGTAAATGCGGAAATTTTTTTCAAAAATTTGGTTTGCTGCATTGGTCGCATTTTCCGAGAGAATGTGGGCGAAAAATGAGGATGTATTCTCATTTTAAAAAATTCGCTTTCCCATTCCACCACTTGAATGATGATTTTGTTGGCAGGTTGAATTATTTTGAGAGGCAGAACCGCCTGATGGCGAAGAAAAGGCTCATTGCCGAAGTTTCAACGCATTACACTGCGCAAGGATTGAGACAGTTGTACGTGCTGGTGCTTGGCTTGGATGTGATCGGTAATCCTTTTGGACTGGCAATGGGGATCGGACAAGGAGCCAAGGATTTGTTCTACGAGCCTATCCAAGGCGCTGTTCAGGTAAACATCCTAAGTTGTACGTGCTGGTGCTTGGCTTGGATGTGATCGGTAATCCTTTCGGACTGGCTATGGGGATTGGACAAGGAGCCAAGGATTTGTTCTACGAGCCTATCCAAGGCGCTGTTCAGGTAAACATCCTGATAAAATTTAAGTTTCCGTATTTGAAAACATTTTTTTTTATTACTAAATTATCTGTTTGGCTGAAGTCCAGAGAGTTTTTTTTTTTCGTGACTCCTGTGAATATTTTACTAATTACAGTAGAATCTTGATACAACGAGTATAGTCAAAAAAATTATTGTCTGATACGAATTCATTTTTTTCAGGCCCCTGTTCAGTCGCAACCTTATTTAAATGTCTTTGGAACGATTTTTTTTATATCAAGAAGCGTTTCTTTTGGTCCCAATGGCTTCGTTGTGACAAGGTTTTACTGTATTCTGATTTTAAAATGCCGGAATTGTATGCTATGATTTCTTGAAAAGTTCGACTTCGCTTTTCAATTTCAAAATGAGCGTGATTCTATTTGCCATTTCTTAGCGATAGCAAAAAATTAAAACGTTTATTTAAAACAATTTCTTCCGAAGTTTTTGTCTGGTTTCTTGTTCAGGCTTTTGTTTGAATCCTTGAGTGAGGTTTTTTTGTTGTTCATACAGTATTTTAGTTTCAATTGTGTGTACTACAATAAAAATGGATTTGCTCGAGTAAGACGCGCACCAGGAGTTTTAAACTCAAAATTTGTTATAAAATTGTATCTCCAATTAAGACGCGCATTGCATTTTCAGTGGCTCTGAAACCGAAATAATGTGGGCCCCCAACTTACAACGGGCCCATGTTAATTCGGTTTCAACTTACAACGTTTTTTTTTTTTTTTTTTTTTTTTTTTTTTTTTTTTTTTTTTTTTTTTTTTTTTTTTTTTTTTTTTTTTTTTTTTTTTTTTTTTTTTTTTTTTTTTTTTTTTTTTTTTTTTTTTTTTTTTTT